TTGACCGTCACAAAGGGTCAGAGCCCATCTACCACCCGCTCTCCACAAGGTGCAGAAGAGGGTAGAACTCTCAACCGCCTTAGTGGTTGTCTAGCGTGGAGAGATTAACCCCTCAAGGCGTGTGTCGGCCAACGGGCCCCACGACTATGAGTACTACATCATACGTCAGCACTATGACTGCTTGCAAATTCATGCATGGGTAGTCGGTATGAGGCCTGCGTCCACGGAGTATTTATTATGAATCTCGCGGGCAATGCCTATAACAGATTCTTATGTCGAAAAAGTTATGGGTTGGATTAAAAAAAAGGGACTAGGAGTGTTTTGTGTGAGAACTGAATTCTTCATTTTGGCGTGGTGCAACGCGTGGTAAAAAGAATACGTCCTAGTCAACCGACGATGAGTCGCGCTTGGGACGTCAAACCCCCATAGAGGCATGCAACCGGGCGTACCCCCTACGCTACAGCAGACGAGAAACAACCTCGGCCGAACCACCTTTGTGATTGCAACTGAGTAACTTTCGCACGTGGTTTAGTAGCCCGGCAATGATACGTTCAAGGGTGGTGACAACCCCTTGGGCGGAGGTAAGTTATACCTCGCGTTACCCTATCCTATTGTGAGAGGTATGGCTGACACACTCGGCCTGAGCGGCGACAAACCTTTACCACGATAAAAAGTCTTGCACGAACCCTACGTGATACAGTCAGGAGGGTCCCCCTACGGGACCGATGCACTCGATAACATGGCATGTTGCTGTTATCAATTTTTATCAGGCTTGTCTTTGGGTTACTGTTTGCTGACGTGAAAGAGGGTAGATGACCGAAGGAGGAGTGAGGTATGAGGGAGATCTATCATCGATGACATTGATGAATACTTTCTCTTCCACCCTCTAAGTCTTATCTCCCTCCTATCAGCTTCGTCCTTTGGTTACGAAACATTCTACTTTCGATCACATTCATGATTATTGGAGACACTGACATGTGCTGAGACATTTTGTATTTTGACATTGGCGAGTTTCCTTACAGACTGAGTTCATTACAGGTCCTTTTTTTATCCTTGCTCGGTCGGGCCGCCCTGGTAAACATGGTGACCCGGGCGGCTCAAGTGGTAGCCTAGGTAGCGACTGAGTTCTACCACCTCAAAATGATAAAAAAATATGAACATTCAAACACAACAAATACATGGTCTTGTCTTCCGCTGCTTTTTCTCATTTCCCCCCTCCCTATCAACAATGGTGATCATCATAGTGAACGTCTATACTTCCTACCCAGATCCTCTACTCACCGATTTCTTTGTTTCATCCTCCTTTCCTTTCTCTAACATTTTTTCACCTCCATCACCACTACCATCTCATCATCACTGTCTTTCACGAGAATGGTTTGACTCGTGTACTTGCCTATCATGTTCTCCATGAAGCCCTCAATTGTGTCCATTTTCTAGATGAATTGAGCAGTGATAGGCAGAATGGTGGAGGGCCGCTGCCGAGCAATTCCATTGTTCATTGTTTGTATTCACTGTGATTGTAAAGCCTGTTACAACTTTGGCTTATCAAATGTTTTACGTTATCTTCTTTTTTTTTTTCTAAAAACAAATAAAATAAAATTATTTACAAATTTGGAATCTTTTGGACCGCTTCTCGATGTATGTGTGTCATCCTTACGCAGGGGCCACGCTATTCTTCTGTGTTTAATTGTTCCAATTTTATCGCATGTCGTGAAGGACTCTTTCAATTTTTATCCTAGACCTCAACATTGCGATAGAATAAATAAATAAATAAAAAATTTACCTACCTGACCTCTCTGGTGTCATCTTGATTTTTGACAAGGGTGTTGATCATGATAATCCTCCCTTTCTTTTTTTTTTTTTTTTTTTTTTTGAAACGGAACAAATCTCCTTCTATTCTAGGGAGCAGCAGTCCAGGTCCTACTCCACCCGGCAAGTCAAGTAACATGAATACAACTCTTGCACACGCTTCCTCGAATTACGTCCCAAGGAACCCTTCAAGGAACCCTTGGGAAGGATTGACTGTCAGTTAAACCACCAGTACATCCAGCTATCGGCCATGACCCCTTTTCGGAGGCCGCTCGCTGCCGATTGGATTTATCTACGGTTCTGGGCCTCCAAAATTTTGTGGGCGACGAGTCTTCTTTTCAGCAAGGCTGGGTTCGTGGACTGGCGGTTTAAGCCCATCCTTTGGAACGGATTCTCCCCCCCCCCATTGTCTTACCCACCCTTCACATAAACATTCTTAAACCACCAGGACTTCCTAAAGTTGCGCCCGTATACAAGCCACGCTTTTAGGAAACGTTCAAGTTCACGCCACTACAGGAGCACTCAAATTTATCCGACTCGGAGCGTTTCTACTCTTTTTTTTCTGCGTCTGATAGCTGGGCCTAGTACTGGTCGTTAACAACTAAACCTTTCATGCTTGCCCAGTCGGCCATTTGCAACTGTTCCTAAAACCCTAAACCCTTGACTGTCCTTTAACTCCAACCTTGGTCCTGTCTTGGGTGCCTGAGGGACAGCTCCTTTAGGATGCACCCACACAGCCCTGATCTGCTGCTAGGCTCACTCCCCCAGCGGCCATGTCCCTACAGCTCCTTCACAATGTACCCACACAGACCTAATCTGAAGCTAGGCTCCCTCCCCCAGCAGCCATGTCACTCACTATATACCGAGCGAGCCCACTCGCGGTGTGTCCTTCTGGTACCCACAAGTGTCGAGCGAGACGCCACCCGAATACAAAGTACGAGCACTATAGCTGTGCTTGCGGCAAGTTTTGAGTCCTGATGCAGCAATAATGACCACGAGTTGTATTTGGGTGAAGATAGTAGTATTCCCAGTTTCCCATTGCCTAAAGTCCATTTCAACAAACTGTCAAAGATGTCCGGCCTCTTCTCTGTCTCTTGCTTGATTTGCCGTTTGGCTTTGCGCCAGTGTGCTGTGCAATGCCATTGTTCCAGTTTCGATTAGTTTCCGTGGGACCTTCTCTCCTCCGAGGGGGGGAGGGGGGGTGGGGGGGAGAGAGACAAAAGGATGCTTCGGAATTCGCCGGAGAGCACAAAAAGTTGTGTTTCACTGGGGGTGATGACGAACACCTCTTCAACGACTTCAATTATGGGAGGGAAAAAAACGAAAAGAAAATTTTCCGTAGGCAGTGTTGAAGGTCCGTAATAGAAGGTTCACCCACCAGTTTAAAACATCCTTCCTACACCTCAGGCCGTACACACTTTGGAACTTCCATAGCTGCATCTGACAAAAAAACATGGCCAGATTCAGCCCAAAGAATGTTACGGCCCAAACATCCTGACACCGCAGGGTATACACACCCCAGGACTTTCTTAAAATCAAACAAACGAAGGGCCAATCTATTCCTGAGGGCGTCAGTCCGGTTGCCTGCACTTGCCTCCATAGGCAAGCTTAGTCAGGAGATAATTACAAGCAGTTATGATCTTCAAACTAGACCGTTCTCCATCTGCTCCTTCCTCTTCTTCTTCTTCTTCTTCTTCTTCTTCTTCTTATTATTATTATTATTATTTGTTGTTGTTGTCATCCTCCTCATCCTGTTGATCTGGGGGTTTCGAGAAGTCAACAAGAATCCGAAGTCGAGTCACTTTGTGGTGGGAGCTCGATTTGATGTGAAAGAAATGTTTTCGAATCTGCCTCGTTCTTCGATTCTGCAAGCTGTATACTGTGCAACCGATTTTCGGACAGGTAATGATTATGTTTCAGTGGCGGTCCACAAAAAGAGGCAAGGGTCCTCGGCTGGTCAAGGGTAAAAGCGAGGAAGGATGGTCTTACTTGTCTTTTCAGCAAGTCATTCGCTTCGGCCGTTTCGAGCTGGACAACAATACTTACATGGTTGTAGGAGGAACAGTGCTGGGACAAACAGTTGGCATACCGGTGGGGAAATCGTCAAGTCTGGCACTGGCATGTTTACTTTGTGCCTACAATGAGTTCTCTTCCCTTTCCTCCCTGTCTGTCTCTCGTCCTTCCTTGGTTCCACGGAATCCGGTGTCGTCTCGTGGATGATGTTTTCTGTCTTCATGGTATGTGACACATCTGTGGCTGGTTCGTATCAGCAAGCTTTGAGACTGATTGAGCAGTTTTGTCTGTGTTATGATAGTAATCTGGTGTTGGAACAGACCAATGACAGTCAAACATGGGATTTCCTGGGCTGTGTGCTGAGAGTGTTCGGTGGAAATTGAGGGATCGCGTGTATGCCTCTGCACAAGAACCAGAGGCTGTGGATGAGTAAGAAGTTTTTTTTTTAATGATAAAAAGGCTAATTCTTTAAGCCCAACCAATTCAAAGCATACAGGATCATGATGTTTCGTACTCTAGCAAGCAACAGAAGATGGCAGTCATAGGCTCGTTCCTCCACAGGGCGACTCGGAGGACATGTACTGCAGTTTCTGGTACTGAACTTCCTTTTCTTTTTTTTTCTTTTTTTCTTTTTTTCTTTTAACATGTCCATAAACCACCAGTACTTCCTAGAGTCGTGCCCGTTAACGCACCACGATTTTAGGAAACGTACGGGCTAGTACAGGAGCGCCCAAATTCATCCGACTTGAAATGTATCTACTCTATTTTTTCCCGCAGCCGATAGCTGAGCCAAGTACTGGTGATTTAATTGAATTGTATCGGAGATTCGGAGAGGATATCCCGACTATTACTTTGATCATGCCTTGGTCAACCTTTCAAAAAAGTTCGCTGGGTTGTTGGACTACTGGTTGCTTATTCTTATGAATCTGGACTTAATGTAGGGTAGGTGAATGTGATTCTTGAGCGAAGCATTTTTGAGCTTGTCGTACCGTGGTGACTTCCAAATGTCTTTCCATATCTGGACCCGTTATGCAGCTTAGTCAATTGGTACTTAATTCCTACCTAGGTTTTCTGTGGTACGACTACCATTCAGGCAAGATGAAAAGGACCGAGTTGTCGAGGTTGGCACCGACCGCAACTGTAAAGATCCCCGATGATGGCTGGATTGGAGACTAGCCGAAACCGGTAGGGCTACGCCACGGTTCGTTTTGACTCGCCAATCTCAATGTTATTTACACGGGAGTCAGTCGTGCTCGGAAGTTCATCCATTTTCCTGCTTCAAGTCTTGTCCCTCCTTTCCTTCCTTCATTGTCTGGTCTAAGTCGATGATTTGCTGAACTTTGAACATTGCATTTAGTTGGTTTACCAACAACAACCAACAACTTGCTTCCCTTTTCCTCGTCATCCTTGTCCTTGTGGCACTTGCCGTCTTCCTCGTCATCATTGTTGTCCTCATCTTCGTCATCGTCCATGTCGGTGATGTCGGTGATGTCCTTGTCATCACCGTCGTCTTCACCTTCTGCTTCATCTTTGTTCTTCTTCTTTTTCGTCGTCGCCGTCTTCGTCTTCGTCTTTGTCTTCGCCTTTGTCTTCGTCTTCGTCTTCATCTTGTCCTTGTGGCACTTGCCGTCCTCCTCGTCATCGTCGTTGTCCTCGTCTTCGTCATCGTCCATGTCGGTGATGTCGGTGATGTCGGTGATGTCCTTGTCATCACCGTCGTCTTCGCCTTCTGCTTCATCTTTGTTGTTCTTCTTCTTCTTCTTCGTCGTCGTCGTCGTCTTCGTCTTCGTCTTCGTCTTCATTACCGTTGTCGCTGACCTTGTCATTGTTGTCACCGAAGCCATCGACAAGGTTATCGTCACCAGGGAGGGAATGCATTTGTGATCACAGCTGTGACCATGCATGAGGAGAGAAAAGAATATGTTATTATGGTGCATGTGCGAGCAACTACCATGTGGCTCTGTGTTCTCCTCTGCTATTCGATTTCTAGCTCTAAGACTCCTCTTAGGAAGGAAAAACTGGGGAGTACTCGTCTTGTTTCTCCGGTGGGGGGTTCAATTGCAAAGCATGGTTTAACCATTAGTCTTGTCATGTCTTTTGCCCTGTTCATCTCAACAAGAGTTATGACTGCACCCCCAGCTGCAGGGGAGCTGCCATTGAGGCCAAAGCACGTAGTGAAGGAGGAGAAGCCTTAGAAAGACGTAATAATGCCCCTAATCGAGCAGAGTTTACCACTACGACTACGGCAGGCGTGCTGTGGGGCCACAGCAGCGGTCCCGTTGAGCATGCCCACTATGGCCTTGGCTGTACCCTTTCTGACCTTGCACTTGGTTTTCCCAGCCCTTTTCTCTCCGAAGCGGCCGCATGCAAGGCAGAGCAAAATTTCCGCACTCAGCAGCCAGAGCAAAATGGCTGGCGGCGCCAGGCAAAATGACGCCCACGTAGGTCCGTTCTTTTCCTGGCGCACAGGGAACGTTTGTAGACCCGGGCAAAAGCGACTCGGAAATACTGGTGGTTTCATCAGCCAATGCCAGATCATCTCTCTGTTTGCCCGATTGGATTTATCTACGGTGCTGGGCCCTTGGAGTGGGCCTACAGGCCACTAGCTCACTAAGGTCACCCCCCACTGGGCAGCAGCCAAATGGAGTGGGAGTCAGAAGACCTCCCTTACCTGTGTTGGAGTTTGCAGGCTGAAGAAGACAGCGCTGAGCTTCAAAATCTGTGAATAGTCTTGACGCGGGCCAGCACAGATGTAGAGATGATGAAAGAGTGGATGTCAAGTTGGTAGCCTATAAAGATGGAAAATTGTCAAAGTAAGCAAAAGGTGAAGATAAGTGAGGTGCAGTAGGTTGCAGCAAAAGTTCATTCCTTTGACTATGTGTGGAACTGCAATAATTAAATTATAATTTTCTACTGGCGCACTCAGTCTGAGCCTTGTTTCCAGCCTCGCCGCCAATAGAAGGGAGTTATATTTCCTATTATCTAAGTCACACATAGTTGAATCAGATGTGCATTAAACCACCAGTCCATCCATTCTGTCAGTGTAGATTTTATTTTATCGGGAACAGCTACTGTAGCAAAATCTACAGCGATAACGCATGCCTTATGTTCGGTTGGACTGGGCCATCTGGGCCAACGGGCCCCTGAAACAACCTACCAGGTTTAGATCATAGGCAAGCAACACAGGTGAAAACACGCTGCCCGCTTCGGGGAAGCCCCAAACTCCCATTCATAACCCACCCTCATTATGGCTGTACCTTACTGGAAAGATTGCTTGTATACATTCACTATACCGGTGCTCTGTGTTCGGGCGAAGATACTGCAATGGCGCACAACCCTGCCGCACACATACCAAGAGAGACACAGAGAGCGGGCATTCGACAAGTGCCCTCTCTCTCTCTCTCTCTCTCTCTCTCTCTCTCTCTCTCTCTCTCTCTCTCTCTCTCTCAGAGAGTCTCTCTTGCGCGTGCACTTTTAGTCTCAT